AACATGTATATACACAAAATTATATGCATTATCAGACTATCCTCAAACTAGAAGCAACTTAAATGTCTAACAACTGGTGAATGGATAAACAAAATGTGGTATATTCATACAACAGAATATTATTTGGCCACAAAAGGAATAAAGTACTGATAGGCAGATAACGTGGATGAGCCTCAAAAATGTTATGCTTAAGTAAAAGAAGCCGGACAAAAAGGGTCACATATCCTATGATTCCATTTATATGAAATACCCAAAAAAGGCAAATTTATAGATGGCAAACAGAATAGTGGTTATCTGGGTCTAGAAGCAGGAGCTGAGAAATGATCACACAGGATGGGGACTAGGTATCCTTTTCAGGTAATTAAAATGTTCCCAAAGCAAGCTGTGGTAATATTGGCACAACTGTAAATTTATTAAAGATGACTGAATTTTACATTTAAAAGAGGTGAATTTTATATGTGCATTATACCTCAATAAAGTAATTTTTAAAAAATGCTACATTTTAAAAAATGATTTCAACTGTTTATATCTTCCAAATATTTTTTCCTTACTCTATGATTTTTTAAAATGACAAAACTTTTTTCTAATTGTTCCTATTCTGCAACCAATATTACAACTTCAAGTCAACTTTTAATAGGTTGTACAAGTTAATTCTCATAAATTTGATTCATTCTAATAATCATACAGTGACACTTGATAATGAGTTTCCTTCACTCCTCAATAACCCAATGAGTTGATATAATCAGGGAAAATGATTTAGAATCACAAAGTTGTAGTGATTCTAAACCCGCTAACCTGCTGAAGAAATAAAAATACTACCTGTCAAACAAAATGAATTATACATTCTCTGGCATGTACAGTATAAATCATTGTCCAATTTTGGTATGATACTTCTGCTTCCTGGGTTTTTAATCTTTTTTTTTGCCCTCCTTCATAGAAAAATAAATGTACATTGCTCTTCATTAGACTTGGCTTTTCTCTCCTCAGAAAAGTCCCAAAGGGCCGAGGGCATAGCTCAGCACCACAATGCCTGGCTGTCAAGCACAAGGTCCTGAGTTTGATTCCTGGTACCAAAAAAAAAAAAAAAGTCTCAAATACAATACCAATCTCTTTCCTCAAATCTCAAGAATAAAGATTTCTTCCAACTTATCTATTTCCTAAACATATAACCTAGACAAATATCTTCTATTTGTTCCCCATGGTAGTAAATTGACTCTTCAAAAAGAGAGACCATGAAAGACTCACACAGATATCTCCTCTGTGGTCCAGACACCTTCACAATTGTTTTCTTCCCTCCATTGACTGGTCCATTTCCAAGACTCACCAATGGATTTCAGAAGTACCTGTGTTGGGCTGTATTTACTCTACAAAGGGCCTGATGGCAGGTCATGTTCCATCATTATCCCCAACCAATCCTTTAAAAGAAAATGAATTCCCTCAATTTGTGGTTTATAGAATGAACCTTGAAATTATACACAAAATGTTTATAAGTAGAAAAAAATTTTAAATGTAAACATTTAATTTAGTATCAATCTTAGGCTCCAGTTTCATTCCAACCACCTTTTCCCCAAAAGTTTCTAAATTAAATTGTGGGAAAACGTAGTTATAACAACATATTCATCACATTCGTTAAGTGCACGTAGGGTGCTTGCTTGTACAGCAATATACCAAAATTAAAATGATACAGAGATCAGCACGACCCCTGTGCAAACATGACACACAAATTCAGGAAATGTTCCCTATTTTTAGACACAGTAATTATTAATAATAGTATTTCAACATACCTACTTGTCAATGTGTGCTTGTGAAGACAAGTATTTGCTATTAAGCAAACATGCAAGTTTTCTTTTTTTTTTTTCCAGTACCGGGAATCAAACTCATGACCTTGTGCTTGCCAGGCAGGTGCTGTGCCACTGAGCTAAATCCCCAGCCCCAAATTTGTTTTTTCTTTTTGTTTTTTTTTTTTACATGCAAGTTTTCTTATTTAAAAACTATTAAACTTAGGCTATTAAACAATAAAAATTTAAAACAACAAAAATATTTTAAAGGAAAAACAGTACATATAGGCAAAAATTTTTTTTAAAACTTTGGGCAGTAATGAGCATTTAATTAACCCAGGGCATTCACACTGAGCTACACCCCCAGCCCTTTTTATTTTGAAACTTGTCTCACTAAGTCACTAAGTTGCCCAGATGGCCTGAACTGTGGCCCAGAGTGCTGTCATTCTAGGCATGCACCACCACACTGATAAAGTCAACTCTTACCTGGTTTACCAAGGATGTAGTTAAGTGAAAAATTAAATCAGAGCAATTTTGACAAATGTGTATTTAATAGCCCTCCTTAATGGACCTTGGAATAGTTAAGTGCCAGTAAGGAACAGTTTCCTCCCTCAAGAAATTTATAGGTTGTTGAACCGTAACTGCTTTATATTAGATTTAGATAAGAACAATATTAAAAATAAAAACAAAAACCTGGGCCAAGGCTATAGCTCAGTGGCACAAGTGCTTGCCTGTCAAGTGCAAGGTTCTGAGTTTGATTCCTGATACCAAAACAAACAAACAAACAAAAAGCAAAAACAAAAAAATGCTGTGGCAACTGGAAATAACTAGAAAAGATTTCAAAGAGCTGACCTAACAAAAAAATTAATTCTTCAACTAGAATGACTGGAAATAAGTGAGAGAAGAGTAATAACAGAATACTGGAGAAGGTCAAGCAAGGTGAGATGTGTTATAGTGCTGAGTGAATGAAAGCATACTGAGAAACTAGACTTAGGTTTAAGATGATAGTACAGCTAACATTTATCAAGCACTTACTATGTGCCAAGTACTATTAAAGACTTTCCATGTACTAATTTATGTGATCAGGACCCTGGGAGGAATGTACTGTTATAATTCTCATTTTATAGAGGAGAAAACTGAAATATAGAAAGATTAACCTGCTCATAGTTGCCCAGACACAACTTAAAATTACAGAGCCAGGGGGCTGGGGATTTAGCTCAGTGGCAAAGCGCCTGCCTGGCAAGCGCAAGGTCGTGAGTTTGGTTCCCGGTACCGGAGAAAAACCAAAAAAGAAAAAAAAGTTACAGAGCCAGGTTCTTGAAATCACTAAATCATAAAGAAGACCAAATTCTGTCTCACCCTTGAGCACATTTACTGTAAGAGCAGCTAACATTATCTTATCTACCTCTTCTCTCATTAATTCCTAGTCTATTTTTCAAGGTAGCTCAAATACTGCCTTCTCTGCAAAGCTTTTCTTGATCCTCCCGGCTGAACATAAATCACTTTCTAAGCTAGAACTTTATCTGCATCAATCTTATGTCATAATAGTCTGTCCTGGCATTACAGATCTTATGTGCATCATTTCTTTTTATTTTTCTCTTTTAGTCTGATCCATTTGCAGCTCTCCCTACTCTCAGAACAGTGCCTGGCATGTAATAACGCTAAATCTTTACAGAAGAAGGGCATTACGGTAAGCATTTTAAAGGAATTGTATCACAAAAGCCTTACCACAACCCAATTCAATAACTATTTTCAGCCATGACTGTGAGATAAAATACTAGATGCACCTTAAAATCAGTGAACAAGACAGATATGGTTTGTGCCCTGAAGAAGCTGACAGCCTAGGGAGACAGTCTAGGGTATGTTGGTATCCCCAGACACAAAGATGAGGAAAAGTAGGCCTCAAAAAAGTAATTTATTTGTCCAGAATCACATAGTAAGAAAGTGACAGAGCAAGAACTGAAACTAACTGTCCAGACTGGATATTCAGGACCCTATGCACATAACCACTACGTTCTAAAGGAGACACATGATGAACAGCTAAGGAAGGAAAAGTTCTGAATACTTCTGAAATGAAGGATCACCTCAAGGATAATGAAGGATTTCACTCCTTTTTGTGGGAAAGCCGGAAATGCGCAAAGGTAAACAGAGGTTGTAGTAATGGCCTAATTCTCCTGGCTAGCTCATTGCTGCTTATCAAGCCCATGTTTGACTAGCTTGTTATCTTCGAGAGAGCCCCACCGCGCAGTGTCCCTTAAGGGGCCCTCCGGGGCATCAAGGCTTTGCTGCACGGGAGGTGGTGTAGCTGAGACACCAAGTGGCACGGAAGCCTTGTGCTCATCTTCCAGGCAGCGGACTAAATGGTAACCAGGGTTCCTTACTTTAACTGGGTGCAGTGATTCTTGCAAAGTGGATCCAGACTCCAAGAGCCCTCCAAAACGGTGCGAATCCCTCCTTCCAAGGGAGGGGTTATGGGGATTACACCTATAACTCCTCAGGCGCCCCATCCCTGTGGGCCAGGAACCCCAGCCTTGGGCCTCCATCCCGACCTGCCAGAGGCAGAACGCCATCTTGGCCGCCACACGCTTTGGCCCAAACACCCATGCAACAAACCTGGTTTTAGAGAAGATGCCTGTAACTATACACCAGCAGAAACGCTCTGGAGACACTTACCTCAATCCCCACACTTTTTTTTTTTTTTTTTGGACAGGGTCTTACTAGGTAGTTCAGGGTGGCCTTGAACTCATGCCCAGACTGGCCTCGAACTCACCGGTGATCCTCCACCTCAGCGCCCCTCCCCCGAGTCCTGCGTATGTGCCACTATGCCCGGCTGTCCCACACTCTTGACAACCTGACTCGACATCTGATGCACAAAATTAAGCAGCAAAGACCTGTAAGGGCCAGGCTCTGGTCCAGGAGGCCTGGATTCGACCCCGCCCCCACATGCCCCGGGATTTCCATTTAGCAACCAGAGGGGACGCAGAAGGCGTGTCCGGCACAGGTCGCGCGCCCCTCCGCCCCGCCCCTCCTCGCCCTCCACCAATGGCCTGCTGCGCCGGTGCCTCGCGCTCCAGGCCCGCCTCCCTCCCAGGATCGCTGGGCGCATGCGCCTCGCGAAGCGGGCCGGGTGAGGGGCTGTCTGGGGAAGGGAAGGAGGGCGGAAATGGAAAGGATGGATGGGTGCAGCCTCGGCTCTGGCCGGGCGCCCGCTGGAATGTGGGTTGGGGCGGAAGGGGGACAGGTGGTTCCCCGGGTGGTCGAGGCCGGGCCTTCGTTCGGCGGCCCGCTAACCCTGCCGGGTTTCTATGTATGTGCCCGCCCAGGGAAACATGGAGAACTGTTTGGCGGCGGCGGCGCTGAACGGGGTGGACCGAAGTTCCCTGCAGCGCACTGCCAGGCTGGGTCAACAAGTGCTGGAGCGGGCCAGGCGGAGGGCAGTGGACTGGCATTTACAGGAGAGCCTCATGGGCGGCGTGGGGGACCTTTCCCGGGAGGGACCCTCCGGAGAAGGACGGCGGGCCGCCGACACCCGGCGCCTTCTCCCCGCAGAGGTGAGGGTCCAGGTGTTGGGACCCGCGGGTCGCTGTGCTCGAGGGGTGCGCCCCGCAGATGTCAGGACGGCTCAGGGAAAAGTCCTTTGAAAACTGTTTTTGACAGAATCTTGTTGGGCAGTTGAAAGATAGCGCTCGGCCCTGGTGGTTACTTTTTTATTAAAAAGTTTATGCACACTACCATTTGATATTAGAGGAAACCAGCGAACCTATATTTTAAGTCCTTGGTAAATTTATGTCTATCTTATTGCTGTCTATTTGGAGTTCATGTCAGTCTTGGAATTCCTTCTCAGTAAGAGCCTTCTAACTAACTTAAACTTGCACAGGCCTTTACAAGGTGAAAAGAGTATTTTCAAAATTCATGCTCCAGTAAGGAATCCCAAGCGTCACGTGTGACTTGCCATTTATTCAAATAGAGAGAAGACAGACACCTGACTCTTAATGCTTCCTTCAGAACAATTGCCGAATTCATGGACTATACTTCAAGTCAGTGTGGGGTAAGTTGGTGTGAACCAAAGCTGTAACCATCTCCCTAATTGCCTACCAATTGATCATAGGATTTTTCTGGAATTTAGGGATGATTGGAATACTCCTGTATCTCCAGCCCTGCAGATCTTCACGGGCAAATTGAAATCAGCAATTAAATCTGGTGGAAAATACAAATTCGAATTCACCCAACAAATATTTATTGAATTCCCAATCCTGTAGTTACCGTTGAGGATATAGTAGTGAAAAGTCAGAAAATGTCTCTGCCCTCATCGAGTTTTCAGTCTGTTGGGAGAAAATAGCTTATTTGCTGAATTCTGAAACAAGTCAAGTATTAGGTTTTTGTTTTTTTACTTTAAACTGAAGTTTTAAAAAATCGCTTGCATAACTCCTTAAAATGTATTGAAACAAAATCTTAATATTAGAGCTTAGCCTCTAATGTTTGTTTCCAGTCCCTGGTGAAGTAGTTAAGTGCGTCCCAGTGGGTCCTTCAGTTGGTGACAAAGATCATTCTGTGCAACAGATGCGGTTCTTTGGTCAGGTGTTCATTAATGGCAGGAGGAGCTTCAAGTAGCCAAACCCATGTTCTACCATTTGGTTTCTTTCAGCCTTACCTAGGAAGGGTGACCAGAGTATTCAGAAGCAGAGAAAAATATTTATGACATGAAGCTAATGGTGTATTTTAGCTTCCCTTCATAAAATTAAAATTTCTAAAATCTTTTCCAATCTTTAAAGACTTTTTTTTAGTCTCCACTAGAGATAATGATTTCCATTAGCAAATTATCATTATTATTAACTCTAGTGTGTGTGGTTCAAGTGAGTTTTTTGGGTACCTTTCTTCATTCTTTTTCTTTGATTTCATAGTATTGGGAATCAAACCCACGGGTGCTCCTCCCAGCCATTTTTTAAATTTTGAGATCGGGCCTCCCTGAGTTGTCCAGACAGGATGTGAACTTGTGAACCTCCTGCCGCAGCCTCCCTCATTGGTACAGTTACAGGCATGCACCACCCTGCCTGGCTTTTGGTGTGTTCATTGAAATGAGTGAGTGAAGGTTTTAAATTCCCTCTTAAAACCCATACACTTAGATCATTTTTATGTACTTTGAAGAACTGTTGAAGGTGGACCAGCCAACATTAAAGGAAATCACCTACATGGAAGGTGCTCTGTATCTTCCCCAAGTCACACCAGACTAACCCCCTCAACCTTAACATTTTGTGTCTTTTATGCCTTCAGGGTACTGGTCAGTGAGGGAGAGGGAAGAGATTCCCTTGTCTCTGTCTTGCTTTTGGGTTTTGCTAAGATCCCAAAAAATTAATCTTAATCCTTTTATATCTTCTACCAAAAATCCTGTGACTCTAAGAATAGGGTTCCAACCAGTGAGATATGGATCAGAAAATATTTTTTTGTTCTTATTTGTACTGAGGTGATTGTAGAAAAATCTGTAACTTCATCTCTACTGTAATTAACTTAAACATTTGGTTCATGATTCATTCAAAGCAACAATATTTGTCCTTGGTTTTAAGTTTTGCAGATTAGTGTTCTTCGTGTTGATTTTGAGTTCATGCTTCTGTTCATTTGTAACAGAATGGAGCTTCGGAACCCCTGGCCTTTCTAGAGATTTAGTATTCTGGGTTTGCTTCCCCAAGTTTGAAGCAGGCCTTAAAATGTATCGTTAGATCCATGTCCTTAAGCGCTTTCTCTTGCTTCTCATTCTTCTAGTCACATGCTGTAGACACTGTCCCTACAGTATGTTCAGAACAAGCAGGCTTGGGATGCCTTCATCATTAGTCATAATCAAAGGCAAATCCAAGGTTAATTTCAAGGTCAAGGAAGGAAATAGACAAAAAATGTAACCATTTTCCAGACCCTTTGGATTATTCTTAACCTGGAGACCTGTCTTTCTACTCCCCTGCATGGGAACCCTGGGGGAAGGGCTGAACCACAAACTCTTGGGTTTGTGTTTTGTTTCCTGATGTATCTCTGTGTCCTTATCTAAGACAGTAAACATGGAAGTATTTATCAGAATTTGTTGGGGGAGGAAATGAAAGGGCTTGTGTATTGGTGTTTGGCATTGCAGCAAACATGAAAATTCTTTAACCTGGGAGAGAGAGCATGATCCTGCCTGGCCAGAGGTCTTGCCCTACAGAGGCAGCAGATGGCAGCAAAGTAATGCCAAATGTAGTTCTCTTCTCTGCAGCCACTGTATGTGAGCTGTCTTGCTCTGGAACTGAAGAGGCTGTCAAAAGGACAGGTTATTACCTTTTCTCTCTTCCTTCCCTCTTTAATCATACTTTGCCCGCCTATCAGAGAGGTTTTTGTTCCATTTTTGAAAATTCAACCAGACTGTTTACTCCTTGTCTTTCACATTACTCCTCTAGAAATATTATTCGTCGGTGCCAGAGGAAGGAGGGGCAATTCATGTCTGTCGTTATCACAGAAGGACATCTCAGCAGCACATGTGCCCAGACTCAGCGTTCGATCAGGTATGTGTTGCCCCGACCCGCACTGTGCCTACAGGTTCTCGAGGGTCTGTGTGACTCAGCAGTACAGTGGTCATCAGAAGTGTATCATTGCTCAACCTGAGAGAATTCACACCAGTGAGCAAGAAGCACTGATTTCGCTTCACTGTGAGATCTATGGATGAACCTTCAGTTGTGGGCTATGGGATACTTGGGCAGACTTAAAGAACTTCACATATCCTTGTCTATATCCAGGGATAGGAAGGAGATTTTTAATAATTATATATCTTACTATGCAGTAATGATAGCTATTATGTGTTTGGTAATTTTTAAAAAGTAAGTGCAAAGAGGGGGCGTCTGTTTTAACAAAATGCTTTTTCTAAAAATAATGGCGCTGGGCCTCTTACTGCAGACTTACCTGCCTTTTACTGTGTATCATTGTGAGGAAGCCAAAGGTTCTGCTTGTTGAACAGTAGCTGGTGGCAGTGGTAGGCTGGTAGGTTTTGGTGGTTTTTTGTGGGGTTTTTTGGTACTGAGGATTGAGCTCAAGACCTTGCATGTGCTGGGCAAGCACTCTGCCACTGAGCTAGTTCCCCAATTCTTTTTATGTTTTGAGACAAAGTCTCGCTAAGTTGCCCAGACTTACCTCAAACTTGAAAGCCTCCTGACTCAGCCTCCTAAATAGCTGAGGCTGCAGGCATGCACCACCACAATGCCCAGAAACAGTGGTGGCTTCTGAGGAGAGTAGGCTTTTTGTGTTTTTGTTCTTCTTAAACTTCCCTAACTGTACTCAAAGATAGCAAACTTAAGTCCAGAGTCTGATCCCGAAGTTGGGTTCCTGACTTCTCTGACTTAATGGCCCTCTTGGGGTGCTAGAGCAGAGGGGTTTAAGAAAAGTGGGGGTGGTGAGCACCTGGGTGTGAATAAGAGCTGAGCACAAGCTGGAAGCACCCCCTGTGCCTCTTTCTCAGATATGGAGAGCCACCATTCTGGGTTCCCTTTTTCAGCCTGTCCTGAGGGCTCTGTCAGTGCACCTGATCTTCAGAGGTCGCATGTGGGGAAGAGTCATTCCTCTGTCTCCCTGTAAAATGTGAATTGGTGGCTCTAAGAGAGTTGGCTTTGTCAGTCACTGTTCCCATCTAGTACCCCACTTCTAGGAGAAGCACAGAAGAGAGTTTTATTTTCTGAGAACTTGTTAAGTGTCATCATTTTTGCACTTTAAATCATCCCTAAATCCAGTTGCCCATAGTGTAGAGTAGGAAACCAAGGCTCAGAAGTTAATCAGTTCCTTTTAGGAAATAGCAGGGAATAGGATTTAAACTCAGACCTGTCTGGTGGCAGCCCATGTAAGGACAAAAAGTAATCATGGTAAACAGCTCACAAAAATGTTTAACATAATTCACTAAAAAGAGCCTTAAGAAGGTAAGTAACAACTTAGAAAAAGTGTACAGAACAATTCTAATAGGGTGGGAGAAAATTTTTCTTTATAATCCAGAATACAAGGCTTGGCCACTGATTGGTATTTCTGTTTGTTCCTTCAGAGAATAGATGGAGATAAGACATTCTTCAATCCAGGAGGCATCTCCCAAACACCAGAGCCCGCTTCTGAGGCATCCTGGCCTGTGAGTGTGGGACCGCACGCGTGCTGGGCTCCTCCACCATCGCAGTTCCATCAGCCAGTTGACCTGTTAATTATAGGGCTCTCTGTTTTCAACTGAATCTGTGGTATTTTTAAGTTCTTACAACTTGAGGAGGGTGCGCAAAATTGGCAAAATTATGTTTTCTTGTTACCCCTTTCACTGGATGCTTCAGCTCTGCTCTTGTGTCTGAACTCAGAGTTGTGGTTGGAAAGAATGTGAAATATTCATATCTTAGTTCCTACGGCTCAGCTGGGCTGGCTTTGGGTCCTACTAGAATTCCACCATCTGTTCAAGCAGCAGGAGAGCCTGACCCTCCTCCTTAGAAAGTGCAACCATTGCTGAAATCCTGAAACACACCATGAGGTCAGGCAGCGGCCTCAAAAACACTGTAAGGTACCAGCTGCCGTGTTTCCTAAGTGTTCCTCTATAAAGACATGTAATGATGAGTTTTTCATTTTTAGGATAAAGTTCTCAGTAGTTTCTGAAACAGGGAATTTTTTTTGGAATTTGGAAGGGCTGAAATTCTGAGAAAGGGAACTTGAGCATGTTGCTACAATAAATTCCTTACTCTTTTGTTTGTGTACAGTTTGCTTCTGGCCAGGATCTGGACTGTACTGGAGTTAGTAGCTACTAAGATACTCTGGTTCTAGGACAAGTATAAATTGGTAGACTGGCACACCTCCATCGTTGCTCCCTTTTGGTAATGCTGGTCTTCCTGATGCTCCCCAGTCTTAGCATAGTGTTGGCCTTTATGCAGATAAATGGAGCAGCCTTGGCTGCTGTGATTTCTTTCACAGCTCTATTTTCCTAACCTTACTTTTGTTTGCACAGTTAACAACCAATAAATAGTTGTGGCATTGTCTTATATAATCAAATTGGCTAAGTGATAATAACTCTTTAAGTCTGTAGTAACTACCAGTAGGTGTGGAAAGATACAAAGTTTTTGAAAAAATTGGCTTCACATCTATCTAAGGCAAGGCAGGGAGGGAGGGAGGGAGCCGAGTATAAATATTATCACTTATTCCTGCTAGTGGAACGTGCTAGCTGATAGTTTTGGTTGTTTTCCCACGTGTGGCATTAGGCATGACACCTTCTACCTGGGGCTTTTTCTGAGCACTGGGCAAGCATGTGGAGGCATCCCAGCTGTCACTTGGCTCTTACCCTTTTCTGATTTGTAGCTTTGCCTTTCACCAACTGAACTGAGACCCACCCTCTACCTGCCACATCTGCTTTGGAGGACAGTTTGTGCCCAGTTCAGCTCTAAACGTGAATCTTTCCATTAAGTCCAGCTTTCAGTACTTCGCATCCTGGAGAACCAGTCCTCCAAGGGAGGGCTTTTACCAGCCAGCTGACTTGCTGCTCCCGAGACAAAATAGCATCTACTCCTGTTGTTGTTAGCTTTAGGAGAGAAGAAATCCTTCATCTTCCCAATAATGAGTTCAGCAAAGCACGGTGAAAAAGAATGGTTCTCATTTTTCTTTGTTTTGTTTTTTTTTTTGGTTTTTTTTTTTTTTGGTTTTTCTCCGGCACCGGGAACCGAACTCACGACCTTGCGCTTGCCAGGCAGGCGCTTTGCCGCTGAGCTAAATCCCCAGCCCCGGTTCTCATTTTTCTAAAGGACCTCATTACTGCCAGTCTCTGCTCATAGGTGCCGCTGTCTACTTTTGACCTCCAAAACAACGGCCATTAATCTTTCCATCTGCCTAACACTTCCTCCACCCAGAGGGTTCTTACAGTCCTTCATGTTCCTGTAACATTAGCATTTACAGAATGTTTTTAATATGCTTATTTGTGAGATGGGTGTTATCATAGCTTTAGAAATAAAAAAACAAGCACAAGTGAAGGCTGAGACGTCCCTAACGAGAGTTTGGCCAAGCTAAGTCTTGCGAGCAGGACTCTTCTCCCACATTTGTACCTCGTTTCATCAGCCCTTTGGCATGCAAAGCCACTGTGGCAGGCGTGCCCTGATGCGCTTAAGGTAAAAAGTCTCTACACTGCTATATTCTCTTCTCCTTCCAGGCCGAGAACATCTGCAAGGACCTCTACATAGAAGTATATCCAGGGACCTATTCTGTCACTGTGGGCTCAAATGCCTTAACCAAGAAGACTCACGTGGTAGCAGTTGATTCGGGACAAAGTGTGGACTTGGTCTTCCCTGTATGATGTTGGCTGCCACTATCACCGTATCACTTTTTGAGTGGCAAGAAGAATAAAGCTACCATGTGACTTTCTTAATAATTATGCCTTAATCCTGTTTCTAGTGCTGACCGTAGAGGGTCAGCCTCCTGGGAACTGCACTCTGTCCCTCGGGGCCCATGATAACCTGGGAAGATAGAAGTCCCTGTCTCGTTTGCCTAGGAGTGATAATGTGATGATGGAGTCTGAATAGTTTTTACTGCTTGCTTTCTAAGTAAAGGTTAATTATGATAATAAAGGGAGAGATTTGGAAGCAAAGATAATTCATTTTTATTGATGTTAAAAATACAGTATCCCCGTGTACAACTATAGGCTTTATGAAAAGATGGCAGAGAGGCCATGGACGCATGCCCAAAGCCGGCTGACCACACAGTGGCTTCTGTGGGAAAGGTGTCCTCAAGTGGTCTCACCAGGCCCTTGGCAAGGAGTGAGGCGACAAAGCCGCCAGCTTCTGCAGCTGCCTGCCTGCTGTCCCATCTCCAGGAAGGTCTTAAAGGGCTGAACATGCAGGTGCCCATTTGCTTCTCTCCGCTGGTGTGTGCGCTGTTTCTCCAGAAGGCCGTGCAGCCGCTCTGTGGAACCCTCCTCAAATACGTACTATCACTGCCTTTTCATTTCCTGTGAGGAAAAAAATCCTGACAGTCTTATGCTGACTATAATACCAAGAATCAGGAATTACTGATTTGTAAAAAGTCATTGATGTGTCTTAAAATTACTTAAGCTGGCACACCAGTAGTATTGGTGCATCTCCCTGTTTCGTTGCCTGGCGAATCATCCAATTTTGAACATAGCAAGTCTTAGGGAAAGTGCCAGTATTTTATGTGATGAAAATAAAGTTAAACAGGGCTGTGTTAGAATTCTTGCAAGAACAGGCTCCTGTGGACAGAATCCTAGGGAAACAGACCTGTATCCAGCAGTGTAAGGCAGAGGGTCATTGAAACACGGGGATCCTTGCACCCTCCAAGAACCTTCAGATGAACTTCATGGGTTCTCTAAATTTTACTAAATGTGAAGCTGTGGGTATGTGCAAATTTCAGGAAAAGTAGACCATAGGCCTTCCCATTTTTAAGGGGAGTGTGACCCCCAGAAGGTCTAAGAACCATGTAAGGAATCCCTAAGAAGGCCTTCCCAGCCTTACCTACATCCTAGGGGCTTTTGATCCTGGATGAACTCTTATCCCACTGATGCACTGTGATACCCGTACCCGGTTTTCTGTGTTGAGCTCCCTCTCGCAGGGTCTGTGGTGGCTTCACATTGGTTGCTTTCAGGGCCAGCTCCTTGGTAGTCCCCAATACTGCAGCTTGTGCTTTCTCTTGTTCGTTGTCATCTTCTTTCTGCATGTTGTGGCATCTTATTCCTAAACCCAAAATCAACTGGTCATGTTGGATGTACCACCATTTTGATGGGATTTGTCTTGATGACAAGTAGAACTATATCAAGCATCACTAATCTCTTAAGTATCTCTAAGTTCTAGCCTTGTTCTCTGTTTTTAAAGGGAAAGAGGGTTTATTAATCCTGACTGGCCATTGTGCATTTTGGGAAATGTTACCTGACAGTCTCAGGAGGGGAGCTGCCACCAGTCAAAGAAGCTTCCATTCCATAGTGCTGTCAGGAACACCTCTAAATGTGATCACAATGAGATAGTACACTGGTAGAAAAACAAGTTTTAAGATTCTGAGGCACAGTAGGCTGGGCTTGGTGGTGCATACCTGTGGCCCCAGTACTCTGGCAGGCTACAAATTTTGGGAGGATTGCAAATTCAAGCCCAGCCTGGGCAACTTAGTAACTTGGTGAAACTATCTCAAAAAAAAAAATTGAGGCAGAACAAAATGGGAGAACAATCTAAGAAGTACACTAGGTGTGGTGGCACATGGCTGTAATCACAGTACATGGGAGGCTGAGGCAGGAGTATCACCATGAATTTAAAGCCAGCCTGAACTACATAGTGAAACCCTGTCTTGATAAATAAAAATTAAAATGGAAGCAACACCTTAAATTTGCTTTAAAACTACAGATTGAATCTTGTTTCCCTCATTTTCCAGGCAGGCGAGAAGGGGCTATGAAGGCCAGCAGCCCACAGTCTGGCCTCCCCAGCAGTAAGATCAGTGACTTCTCACCACCTGTCCCTGCGAGGAACTAAAAGTGTGGGAGCGGAAGGACCCGTACAAAAGGCGCCTGAAGGGCAACGCTCAAGACTATCAAGCGTCAGTACTTGACAGAACTGACATCTAGTACTGACTAAATACCAGTCATATTTAGAAGCAAAGCAGCACATTTCCTTAAAAGGCTATGAAATGTGGAGAGACAAAAAGAAAAAGCTGTCATTTGCCATTGTTCCCGTCCCTGGTCTCATGTGGCCTTATGCACTTCCATCTTTGCTAGTTGGCAGTGACAGGCAGTACCACATCTTCAGCAAGAGCTAGGGACGGCCTGGTGCCCCGCCCAGGGATGCTTATGGGTCAGCCCTTGGAATGAAGCTTTCCCCAGAGTGAAACAGAAGATCCAGTTCCTGAAGAGATCATATTTCTCTTTGAATCATCAGAATGCATTTTTTTGAGAAAAATCTTTGGCATGGATCTGTTTTGTTTAATGTGGTGTTGGGAAAGTGACCCAATGTGGGTCTACGTGGCTGCGGGCAGTGGAGGTGAGAGTAATGTATGTTTAGGGCCAGGGACAATTTGTTTGGACTTCACGGGGTTTGGAACCACTTTAGAGGTTGCTATGGAGCAAGCCCAGCAGTGGGAACTGTGTGTCTGACTACCATGGCCCCTGGCTACCCCCGTTGTTCCTCTCCCCCATACTGGCACTGATGCTGTCTCATTGCTCCCAGACTCCTCTCTCTCGAACTGGTACAACTTTTCTATCTCCAGGCTATGTTGAAGCAGGAGGTCATGAAAACTGTGCAAAACTTAGCACAAAAACTAGATTTACTATAATCCCAGCACTTGGGAGGCTGAGGCAATGAGTTCAAGGCCAGCCTGAATTGCAGAGTAAGACCCTGTCTCAAAAACAAGAGACCAAAAACCTAGATTTGGGCACCATTTTCTTTATATCCTCCCTTGTTATGAAAGCAAGTCTCAGAAACAGCTGTTTTTAGGTTTATGGTTTCTTTTTTTTTGGTACCAGGAGTCGAACTCAGGCCCTCGCACTTGCCAGGCAGGCACTTATGCCGCTGAGCTATATCCTCGGCCCAAACAGCTGTTTTTAAATAGCTGCTACGAAGGCTTATGACCGTGAGACCAGAGGGAGCCATCTCACAGAAACCCAGCATCTTTCCCCTCCACTTTATATTTTCAACACGGTTTCCTTTTTGGAGAGAGGAGAAGGAGCGCAGCAGGCCATAGATGGGGTCTTGTCCATCTGTTTCCCAGTCAGGGGCTGGAGAAAGATCCCACACTTTGGAGGCTGGAGAAACCCTACCACCTTCATGTGAAATATAGCTGCAGCAGGCTTACGTCCACCGACCCTGCCAAAGCCCGGGAGCCCACAGAAGTCACCCAAGAAAGCTTCCAGTTAAAGAAACAATTCTTCAACTTTCTGGAACTGAAGACTAATTAATGATTAAGGTCCTTACGCCTGGGACAAGAGTGAAATCTTGGGCTGAGCAGTCCTGCCTGTCCTGGAAATATGGCAGTGACTTCAAATAAGGACTCAGGGTAGGGCCTGGTGCAGGCAGTGCTTTGAGACCCTTAAGCTTTCGCATCTTAGTGCCTGCAGCATGCCTGCCTCAGCTGGATGTCACGGTAGTGACCCAGGGTCCCCAGAATCTGGCCTAGGACTGGGCATATCCAGGCCACCTCTCGCACTGCTCTGCCAGCTGACCTAGGTGCCACTGGGAATTTACACAGGGTGAGTGAGGGGCTGACCAATAATAGGCTGCTCCCCAAACCTCCCACGGCATGTCCCACAGCCCCTAGCTCACAGGAGAGAAGCTAGGGGGTGGCTGCCATGAACAACTCAACAATGCTTCCTTGCTAGTTGTAAAGAATGAGCAGTGGTTCTTCCCACTCTAACTAAGGTCCCATCTGGAGACTGGCCAGATGGACAATGTGTAAGGACCAATTTCTGTGCTTCTCAGGGTGGTGACGCTAATCAACACCTAGGTGCATTTTAACTGTTCAAGGCCTCCAGGGAGCAAAAAATGGCCCATGAGAGAGCTCAGTCAGTAGACCAGAGAAAAAGACCGGTATTAAATGTCAATCTTAGCACAAAGCTCAGCTAATCCTGCCTCTCACTTGTAGCTTGTGCGGAAACTGACCACTTCCCTCTACTCAGTCTCCCCTTCCTCACGTCAGCCTTCCAAATAGTCATTACTTCTAAGCCAATGGAATGGGGAGGTGCAGCATGTTCTTAAGGGACGCACAGAGGGGAAGCCAGCAGCCCCTCCTCAGAGCACGAACCCTCATCCTTGGGCTACCTGGCTTCCCGGGACGTGGCTCCGGCCCGTTCCTCTTCCAGTACCTCCACTCAGGCTGGCGGGGGCCGCTCTGCATCAGAGGCCTCTCTGGAAGGATGGGGTCAGTGTTGACTGCGCTGTTCACCACCAGTCTCTGGGGAAGGCCCACTTCCAGATTATCCTCCAAATCTTCACAAAAGGAGGAGGAGGAAGAAGAAGAGACAGCGGGGGCAACGTGCACTGCTACTGGCTCCTCTTTAGCGCCTTCTAGGGGTAGAAGCTGTGCTGCAGGCTTCAGCTCAGGCTCAGGCAGTTCTCTGGCCGTGGTATCGAAGGTCCTAGTGAGGCGCCACCAGGCGGAGCTCATCGAAGGACAGCAGCAGAGGGAGCTCTGGCACAGCAGCTGGCAGCAGGCATGGGAGTGGCAGGGCGGGCACAGGAAAGCAGTGTCCGGAGGAAGCCTGTTGGTGATGCCTCCAGTGACCGTCCCCAGCAGAGAGCAGCAAGGGGCCCAGAGGAGGGCACTGGGGTGCTCGCTAGTGTGAGACTTGCTCAGCCTCTCCACAGCCTTCTTCCAGAAAGTGGGGGGCACCCACCTGACCCCACCTAGAGGCACCTGAGCAGTCTTGCCATTCCAGAAGTGAATGGTGATTTCCTCCTCCTTTGATGCTATGAAATGGAAAAGGGCAGCACTTCATTATAATTAACCTCTTCTTTGGGTTCTTCGAACCCCAGGTGAAGCCTCAACGGGGTCCCTGTGCTCTCCTCTCCCCTGTACTGCAGTGGCCACCTCATCCTGGCAGGATGCACCAGCCTCCCTGCCTCCTGGGTGATGAACTGAGCTGGAGGGGTCCATTTTTCACACAGAACCAAAACGTACCCTCAGTAGATATTTCCTAACATTGCATAAAGTACAAGTGGGCTGACTGGCCCTGTAAGGAAGGACTGCCAGTCCCTGGAGAACCTGATGAGGGCAGGTGGTAAGTTCTGGGCAACCCCAAGTGAATACTATGGCTTAATTAACCAATATAGACAGGGTAGGTATAGGTTATTTTCCCTGATTTAAAAAATACATAGTCTAAAAGATAGACTTGTTGAGCCAGGTGTGGTAGCACATGCCCATAATCCTAGTACTTAGGAAACTGAGGCAGGAGGATCACATGCCAACCTGGGCTACATAATGAGTTCAAGACCAGCCTGAATTATATAGAGCAACCCTGTCGCAAAAATAAAACAAAAACAAAAAAATATGATTGTGTATCTCTTGGTGCCCTGAGTTATGTGGCAAGTGAGGACATGAGAATTCTTTTTTTAAAGGCTCGAAGACCCCTAAGCTCTGGCTTGATCCCCGTCTTCTCTCCCTCTGGGGACTGACGGGTCAGAGCAGCTTCTCTTACCTCTCTGACTGTCTCGCATGTCCAAGCCCAAGAGAACAGTGCCAGGACCATATCGCTGCCGGCCTGGCTCCCACGCTGCCAGCACCTTGTCCCCAGGTCTCAGTGAATATTCCACATACGGTGAGAACTGAATAACATCTTCCACTGAGACCACACTCTGCCTCTGGGCTGGCAGCCTTGGGCCTGTGACAAGGGGAGCCTCAAATTCCACAAGCAGGGTCCCTTGCCTCTCCAGCTGTGGGAAAGAACACAGAATAAGATTTGGTCTTACAAAGGAAAACAGGGAGTGCCTGGACTCCCTCCGATGCCCCAGTAGCAGGCCCCGGGTGTTCCGTACAGAGAGTGAGAACCCTGTTGAGAAAGGGAAAGAACAGGCGCTGCTTACAGCTGGTTAGTGTGTAGACAAGAAGGCTGCAGGGCTGTCGCAGTTCCCTCTTCCTCTTCTTGCCATGGGCAGCTCTTGTTCATCACAATCTGCCTTTCCTTTCCCATTCTCTCCTGTTCCTGTTTTTCTTTCCTCCTACCAAATTTTTGACCTACAATTTTCAAGAGTAGCCTGGGTCCTTTGGATCTTCCCCCAACTCACGCCTTTCCTCCAAACACTACCAAGAGGTGTCGTTCCTATGTCCAAGACCAACCAGGGATGGTTTATTATCCATCTGCCTGGCTCACGTGGACAAGGAGCTAGTGTGGGTTTAGGGGAGCCCTCAATCTACCATTATAATTAGAGAAGAAAGGTTTAGCTACGTAAATGAATAGCATGCAAGAGAAGAAGTACTTAAGCTAAATAAAAGTAGAAAGTGTCTGAGTA